TGGTTAAACAAAGACATTTTTTTTTATTGGATCAGAAGATATTTAATTCCAGACATGTATAGCGATATAAATAACTCTTATTCTATTCTAATATTTTACAATCACTATGTGCTTCAGGAAAAATTAAGATTTTAGAATGGAAAAAAAAAAATTATATATATATGATATTTCATTTACAAATTTCGCGAAAGAAAAGCTGACAATTCTTCAGCAACACAACCTTGAAAAACACACATTGTGTTTTTAATACGGAATGTATTTTTTTGGGATTGTTTCTAGCTCTTTTTCATACTATATAGTCACTTGGCTTCTGATTAAATGACATAACATGTGTTATGTCACTCTAACTCCATGAAAACACTTCTCGTTCAACTGATATTACAATTAATTTCAATATGTTTGTTATGATAAATCTTTGACACTATTTAAAATCGCGCAATTTAAAGAAAAAAAAAAAGACTAACTTTTTCTCAAAAAACTACTACACTGTTAGAAATTTCTCGGTAAAAATGGATATATGGCAATTTATTTAATTGTTATTTAACCAACAGTTAAGTAACCATAATAAAAGATGACATTCAAACTGTCAATCGACTATCCTTATAAAGCTATTTTGATTCATGCAGCTCGGAACAAAGCTGAGAGGGCTAATCGGTCAATCTCATGACCGTCTGAAACAGGGGTTCGAATCACAGCTTTGTTGTTGTCAGTATCCTGGACTCTTCAATCGATGAATCCTGAACCAGGGTGGCTCAGAGAATAGAGCGTTCGCCTTCCAATTAGGTGAACCGGGTTCGAATCCCATCGATGGCTGGTAGGTACAAATTTTGCACTTGGCTAGCACCGACCACATTGTTGAAGTAAAATATCCTCAGCGGTAGACGGATCAGGGGTTAGAGTCAGGCTAACCATGGGAGGTTTTCTTCTCCGTGTAACGCATTATGAGGATTATTTCCATCAAAAAGTTCTCTCAATACTAGTTCCCTTGTTTTCTGGATTGGGTTTAAAATTGCAAGGCTACGTAGTTGAACATTAGTAGTCGTAAACCCAAAATCGGGTCGGCTGTTCAATGACGGTTATAAAATGTTGTTTCTAATGCCACTTGCTGATACCAGCAAGCCTGCTAGATGAAATCAAGCGAATTTAAGTGAAGAGGGTGAGTTCCTTGTTTTCAGTGGCGTCATCTATTGCCAAGAATAAGACTTTAGTCCCACACACGTCATAGCCCGTTTATAGGGTTATTCATCCACAGAGCGTAATTTTAACCGAAACTCTCAGAAAACGACTCCAATTCAGTACCCCCAGAAATATGATTTGCAATGGGAATATGGATGACTTTGTGACCCGACAGATTTAACGTGCACCATTTACTATACGGGAGTCTTTAGTCATCGGAGATCGAACCCACGACCCCTTGAACATGGGCCCAACCAGGCTATTCCGGCCTATAAAATAAAATCGATGAATCCTAGATTATAAGAATACGAAACTATGATTTACGTTAAGCATAAATAGCCCTGTACCCACAGAGCTCCAATGTCCGTTTAAGTTTCATTTCAGAAACTATGCTTATTGTAAATGGTTACAAAATCGTAATGGTAATAAAAATGTTTTTAGCCATGAATTTTATGGTTAATCGGATAGACTGAGTTATGCCGGATATTTATTTCACTGTAATTCCAGAATGGAAATTTTAACAGTGTAGTATATTTTAATCAAGAGAAAATGTACGAAACGGTAAATTTACAACTAACTTTATACGATACATAAAGAAATTAGTAAATTAGTCTACGGAAATAGTGCACTATTCCTTTAAAAAAAAAAAAAACGATGTTGAATGTACAAATATAATTTATATTTAATTTAAATAATTATTACTCTTGACATAGTTTCACGCTTCGAGTAGTTGAACACGCGTAAACTCTCAAAGAAAATAATAAATTAAGAAAACTAAATATTTACCTTATCATTTACAAAATGTAGTAGGTGCAAATAAAAAGACTTTTTTTCTTTTATTTATGACTATTTATTCATTGAATGACTCAAGTTAGCGTTGAATTGTTTTCCAATATTTGTTTGATGATGTTTTTGGGGCAATAAACTTTTCAGTTAAGGTCATATTTACTGCGATATTGATTTTAAATGCGCGTGTTACGTAGTAAGATTTTGATATTCTCTTGTTTGTTAAACATTCTTTCTTTTTTAAATCTTCCAATCATTTAAAAGTTAATTCTTTAGTATTTGTTTTGTCACTTATAAATTGTTTAAGTAAAGTTGCGTTAATTGTTTAATAAACCAAACACAAAAGTAAAGCAATTAATAACAATAACAATGAAATAATAAGTTGAATGAATAAAAATGTATAAAATTATTATTACAACCTATATACTAAAATTATATTATAATTAAAATATAATATAAGAACACCATATGTTGAACTATTCGCTTTCAACCTTTTAATTATGTTGTTGTCAACGCGAGAAAAGAATTTTTATTCAGAAATTTGTAAACATATATATTTACGCTTTCAATCTTATGGCAGCTCACACGCTTGATTTTTCAAATCTTTGTTACCAAAATGAAAAAGAAACGAGGAACAGAGATTCTCTAATTATTCAGAAATAGTTTCTTTAAAAAAAGTATAGGAGGGAATTTGCGAACATTTTTTCTTCTTTTTTTTTCCAGAAATATTGCTGTCAGTTTATTTTGAGGACGCTGGTCACCTTATATATATTAAAAAAAAAGAAAAAAAAAAAGTTTTTCAAAAGAAAATTGCCGCGAATTCCTTAAAATCTATTTCAAAAAAAACTTTTTTACATAAAGAATCTTATAAAAAGCATTTTTATATTTTATTAAACCAATTTTATATAAAGGGTCTTCAAAAATTATACAAAATTTATAAAAATAAGATTTTTAGAGATCATACAAAATTTATAAAAATAAGAATTTTTTGGGCTATAAAAGAAAGGTAAGTAGGTACTTTATTTAAGTCTCACTAGAGCTCAATAGGCTATTGGCGACTGTCTGGGGAAACATCCATCACAATTTTTATTCTCTGCAGAGGGGATGGCTCCCCTGCTTTAGTAGCCTGACGACCTGCGCGCGAAGTCGAGCACTTTACGGTAGAACCGTTTAACGAGAACCGATACTGCGCACAATTGGTCCATACACGCAGGCTGATCAAAGTGGTCACCCACCCGCTTACTGACAGCAGCCAGTGATGCTTGACTTCGGTGTTCTACTGGGAACCGTGTCTTTACGATCAGTCCACTGCGGACCGGACTATAAAGGAAGAGCCCGTAATAAATTTCGTTCTGGGAACCGTAAAACCTATCTAGCACACTTTGTATTATTAACTATTCTTGTGAGAGAAAAAAAAATCAAAATCAATTTTTCAAAATGTGATATCTTTTACTCCGTTCGTAGATGGAGTCCGAGAAACTGCGCACGAAGTCCTAGAATACATGGCTCTAATAATCTCCAGCGGTTAAAAAGAGTCATTAATTATTTGTTAGTTATTTGACATTAATTAACAAGTGTTTTGACAACTCTTTTATTAATTTTAAGTAAATTAATAAATATGATAAGAATAAATTTTTCCCGACTCTTAAATTTTAACATTATTATGCTCGGTAATTTTAAATTAGAATATTACAAATGCAATAAATTAATGTTTTTATTGCATCTAACCCGTTTTTATATTACCTTTGCCAACCTCACTCATTTGTATATACACCGAAGAGCCATTACATTATGACCACCCTCCATCTATAACAATGGGTTCGCCCAAAAAACTTCATTCTCTTCAAAAATATACAAATTCGAAATAACAGNAATCCTCATAGAACAATCCCTGACGTCTGTAAGCTACTTGAACATAGTTGCAGACCAGGTTCACCCATTCATGGCAACAGTTTTTCCTGCGGAGATGGTGTTTACCAACAGGATAATGCACCATGTCACAAGGGTCGAATCGTCATGGATTGGTTCGAGGAACATTCCAGTGACTTTCAAGTCATGTCTTGGCCCCCAAATTAACCTGACCTTAATCCAATAGAGTATTTGTGGTCCTACTTGAAAAACCAATGAAACCTTGGAATTCGTGCTGCCACGCTACCCCCTCGCAATGTGAGAGAATTGCAGGACCAGTTGGGGAGCGCTTGGTACCAGATACCTCAGACTATCTATCAGCACCTTGTGGAATCAATGCCATGGTGGGTGCAAGCAGTTTTGAGGGCTAAAGGTGGTCATAATGTAATAGCTCTTCGGTGTATATATAAATATATATATCAAAACGGGCACACACACACACACACACACACACATATATATATATATATATTCAGCGTTGCTATTGTAAATATCTGCGCAATTGAATATTTTTTATTATTATTATCAGAATTAAACCTTGATATTAGGATACTTATTTTTACCAAATTATTATCTCAATTAGTTTAAAAATTTTTTTTAACAAAAATTACCGTGAGCTTTTAAAAATAAATCAGGGAAGGACAAAACTAAAATTTTCACATTTACTAATCACTCTCCTCACTTTTCTCTTAAATATTTTATAAAATTCACACAGGGTAGTCTACAATATTAGTCTCCAACAAACATTGAAATAATCCTCTTAATCGAACTACCATTTTGCTTTATTTACTGCTTAAAAAGTTAGATAAATAAATTGTAAAATTTATCCATATTTCAAAACAAGTTTACTAAGGACTGATTTACGTAAGGGCATCAAAGCACTGGCACTAAGCCTCAAGCTCAAGCTTTAAAAGATTTTAAATTAAAAAAACTTCAATAGATTTTCTTTTCTTTAAAAAAAAAATATTAAAAAGAATTAATCTTTAAAAAAAAAAAAGCGAGCTTAGTCCAAATCGATTCCTAAACGCATTTTATATTAAGTTTTTGTAATCTATTGGAAAGGAAATAAAAAAAAAATTAAAATAGACTATAAATTGATAGCTAATAAATACATTTATAAATTGCCATACCTTCTTAGGGCTTCCCCTGTGGAAGTCATTGCCCTGCCAAAATCTTCGAACATAACCTTTGATGAAACCAATTTTGCTGTCTAAATATTCGAATCCGGGATTCCATATGAGAGAACCGTATCCAAAGACCCACGCGGACATTATTGTTCAAATTTTATTGATTTCAATATAAATAATAATAATACTAATTAAGTGCATAAATAAATTTAAGGAGCAATGCACAGGGTCTGACAACTGCTTACGGGGCTGAAAGATTCAAAAGTAAAAACACGTGTAAATTATCAAATCTGAATAGTTGATTTTTCTTGGCAGTCGGCAGTTTTACGTATCCTCTACAAGGGTTGCTTCTCGCCAATCATTCGCCAAGCTGCTGCTAACTTCTTTGCATCTCTGGAGAAATAAACGATATTCTGTTATTTTTTATTTATTTATTATTATTTTTTTTAATTGCTTCTAATTTTTTTTATTCCATTAATTTATTCTTAAATTCTTATACATTTTAATTATTCATTTATTTTTTTTAATACTATTTATTAATTTTTTCACTTTAATTATTTATTAATTTATTTTTTATATTATTTATTTATTTCTAACAATTACTGTCTATAACTTCGTTTTCTTAAAACTGTTGAACTCTTTTCGATTTAGGAATGTATAGGGAAAGAAGGATTGAAACAAGAGAAAACATATTTTTTTCTTTTAACATTCTGCATTTGCTTAATGCATGGGGTGATAAGAGAAAGTTCGCCCACGGCACACAAAAAAGAAATAGTACTAAAATAATAAAATAGTGCTAAAATAATAAAATAGTACTTTTTTTAAGCAAATGAAAAAAAAATAAACCTAACAAGGGACCACCAAATTTTAAGGGACCTCTACTAAATATTTTAAAATTAACCTTTTGATAAATATAGTTTTTACGTAAAAAAAAAAATATTAAAATTTTTTTTTAAAAGAACGCTAAATCTAAAAGCCTAATACATGATTTCCCTGATCGTTTTTCCAACTAAACGTGACAAACTATTACTTGACTTTTACGTGAGTTTAATTGTATTGCGATGTAAAGGAAATTAAAAATTGCATTTTTTTCACTCTAAAAAGTTTCAAGGTAATAATGAAGAGTAATTATTTTGACGATTGATATCTTGATAATACTAATTTTAGAAACCTCTCAAAAATCTTAGGCCTTAGTAAGTTTATTGAGTCTAGGGAATAACCAGACCCTGCTTGTTTGCCAAGAAACAATGAACCATCCATTGATGATAAAATTTTAAATGATAAATGTTTGCGAGATTTCTTCAGAAAATAATGCCTTTTTTTGTTCTTTTCGAATATTTTTTCAAATTATTCTACCTTTGTCGTTTTAAATGTGATTAATAATTTGAATAATGAAAAAAATTCACTGTCAATATACCACTTTCTCACCAAAATTAAATTTAAAATGCCCAAAAGATAACTGTTTCTGTTTTTACCAAAATTTAAGTTTTAAAAAGTCTCCATGTCCATAACATAATTAAGAAATCAATTTTTTATTTATTTTTATATTATCAAATTAAAACAATGAATAAATACGAATATACACAGCAAGAGGCTTTTTTGAAAACTGTTTTCATAATTATCATTATAAGTTTAAGTACTTAGGGAAAAAACATTAATTAAAATTTAACTTCCGATCTATGTTGAAACATCTCTCACGAAACGAGCGAGTTGATTAAGAGATGATAAAGCGATTTGAAAAGAATAGCGGAAAACGTACCATTTTCGGAGTTAAGGGGGCGATAGCGAAAACTAGGGAGCAACTCTTTAATATTTTTAAAATAAAAATAAATTATAAAAGCTAGGGTATTAAATAAGATTAGGTTGAAATGAGAGAGCCAAACTAAAAATAATTGAAGATCAAGAGGAAAGAAATGTTTATATCCATGAAAGATAATTCTGAGAAAAAACGAATTTCAAGGCGGACAGGAACTGTTTTTCCCCAACACAGCTCCTCTTTACTGAGTAATAACTCTCAGGAAGAACCGATTTCCCTCATTATTGAATTATCAAAATGTAGTAATCCTCAAATTGTAACAGATGGCAATCCAGTCGTTGTTTTTGAGAGAAATGGCTATAAACCGTAATTCCTCCTTGATCTTCAATTGCATAAACAATGATAAAAGTAGGGGAAAAGAGAAATTAAAGTTAGGAAAAAGTATGAAATATGAATTAAAAACAGAAGTGTCAGGATGGAAAATCACTATGACTTTATATGGATAAAGCTCGTACTTTTCTTGTATTCCTTCACAGTATATCGGGAAAAATTATCTCAAAATTTTTTTTTCATTCAGTTTCTAACAATGATAAAATTGCTTTGAAGTCTGAAACTCAATAACTATATAATAATCACCAAAATTTAAAAAATAATTATTTCAAGTCTACTGTATAATTTAAACACTTGCATCTAGTCATGTAAACAAAAACAAAGCAATTTAATAAAATATTGAGGGGGAGTAGCCATAATAAAATACTGAGCATATGGTATTTAATTAAGTTGTTTACTCTCTTCGCTCTCCAGTCCCCGAAGATTGCTACGCATTAATTTTTGCTTCTTGACGATAAACAGATTGTTTACATCATTGCAATTATTCAATTAAGAGATCCAATTTTTTTAATGCATCAACTGAGATTTGGTTCCCAAATCAAATTGGATGAAATTTAAACCTTTTCAATTTTCTTCGTTGCAATTGAAACTTCATTTACAAAACTTACTTACTTAACAAGCTTTTAATAGAGCCATATTTTTTATTTATTTATTTAAAAAAAAAAAATTTTATGAAAACTTGTTAAATAATTTTAGAAAAAACGAAGAGAAAAAAGAACGATTATTTGGTACTACTGCGAAAAGATAATTTCTAACATTTCTTTGCAATTTTATACACTTATAAGAATTATTTTAATTATCTACATTGACCGGAGCAGGGCTCCGAGAATTTAAAAAAAAAAAAAGTGTCGGTTGCCAGCAAAAATTTTCCGTTAGCCAGTGAAAATGTAAACACCTCCCATATCATTCTTTTTCCCCCGCCTTCTAAATTCGAAATTTTGAATACATCTGTTGAAGTTGAATTTTGTTGAATGAAAATTAAATACTTACATTTAAAATACTTAATTCAAAATTAATGAAACACTTATTACAACATTATAAAATATGTTGATTTTTTCAGCGAAAAAAAATTAAATAATAAAATTCAATGTATAATTTCAAAGTTGTGTTTTAAATATTAAATATATATTTTATCAGAGAATTAACAGGAATCAAAATAATATAACAAGTTTTCTAATTTTTTTTTTTTTTTTTTTTTTTTTTTTTTTTTTTTTTTTTTTTNAAAAAACAAAAAAAAAAAAAAAACAAAAAAAAAAAAAAAAAAAAAAAAAAAAAAAAAAAGAAGAAAATTCTGCAAACACGAGCCTTGCACAAAAATAATGCAATTGCTGTGGATAAAAATTAATGTTTCTTCGTTATTTTGCCGTATGAAACGAGTTTTGCCATAATTTTAATGCGAAATCAATACGTCACGGAAATTTCCATTTGCGTCTTTAGGTTATTTAAGTGACGGGTTTAATTATGCACCGATTTCATTATAAATCCATGTGGGTTTTTTAGAATTATTGTAATAGAATTCTTCAAAGTTTTCTGAAATCGCTTTTAATACATTTACGCTTTAATATAATCACTCAGTAATCTTTAATATGATATTAGTACAGCAAGTCAATTTCGAATAGCGTATTTGAATAATAACTTTGTGACGCACGCGTACTTGTTTGACGCGTAGTTTGTTGTGACTTGACTTAGTTTTTCGAATTTCTTTTTCAGTGGCCTATACCCATGGAATTCTAAATAATTTCTAATATCCCCATATTTTTAATACGTAATCATGCTTCTCGAAACGCGGAAATGAGTAATAACCTTTCTATTTTCTACTTTCACTTTGACTTCGACTATCACTTTGGTTCGTATTTGCACCGATTTCATCGTAAATCTATGTGGTTTTTCATTGCTAATCCGCTATGACTATTACTATTGATTCTATTTGCTATTTTTTTATCACATTATTATTTCAAAATGCAGAATCAGAAATTTAAGGAATACGCGACAGTGCGAAGATGAGGAAAAAGGTGATTTTTTTTCTCTGATTTTATCAGAACACGGGCGATAATTATTGTTCAAGATCAATTCTTAGACCGATTTTCTAATAAAAAAAATTAAATTATAGATAAATTTCAGATCGTAATTAAAAAACTAAAAATACAGTTGCCATCCTAAATGTATAGGTCGACAATGACGACTGTGTTTTACGAGAACTGGGCAGGCTAAAACCTTGCATAAATTTAATATGAAAGTATTATTAAAATCATAATTTATTAACATTTAATAATAGTACAAGTGCATTTAGATGCGTTTACCATAAAATATTGTGCAATATAAAGGAATATCATAGAAGAACTTCATAATATAATAAAACAACACCACTTTTAGCTTTAAGATTTCGGTTTTAAATAATATTCAAAACTGAAAACAAAATAATAGCAGAAAATAGCATTAGGAAAGGTGATTGTGGCATCACAGTGATAATAAACAATGCAGATAAATACCATTAGATAACGGAGAAAAAATAATTTGTTTGTAAAACCAGTTACAATTGTTATTGATAATAACCAAATACATTTAACTCTTTGATTATCAAATAATATGATTTTTCTGTCCAATTGGAATGGTAGGACAATTGTTACAGATAGTTACCTTTCTATGATATATAGAAAAGTTCTATTTAATCCATCCTTTTTATGCCTAAATTGAGTGCACTAACATAACAAAGTATAAAGTTTTTAATATTGGAAATAGTCTTTCAAAGAAAAAGGAACATCACTAAAGAATTTTTTTTTTTCAATTTTTTTTTTTAAGAAAAAGAAAAGAAATTATGATATAAGGAATTATAAAATGTCTATTTTTCGTATCGTTCGTAAAGAAGGAATTATAAAATTTTTATTATTCGTATTTGTAGTAGCAAACGATAATTAATAATAGTGTTATATTTTGAAATTTTCCAGAACTGAAGTTGAAGAGTCTAAGAAATATCGAGCAAATAAATTTTAAAAAAAATTGATTAAGACTAATATTAAGATAAACTAACCCAGAATTTTCGTTTTTTTCTTTCAATTCCATTTATTGATAATTGTTCGATTAAGTTTAAAAGCGATAGATTCTAATTTCCTTTATTGATGTTTATTTAGAATCCAAGTGAATCGACTCAGAAGTTTGCTTTTCCG